GTTTCGTCTCTGCTCTCCCTGAATCACATGTTTGGGATTCAACCTCCGAGTTAGAAAACGAGCGTCCATCGTGAACCTCCTGCTTTTCACCACGATCATCGTCAACACAGCAGGTGGAATCACTTCCTTCGGATTGGTTGCTGTGCTGGTCCGGGTGCACTTCTTGCTCAGTTTTGTGTTCGGCGTTCAAACAGTTGAGGTCACAAACTGCTCCGCCCACTTCTCCTTTGCTGAGGTCATTGTTTTTAGGAACTTCCACTTTTTCAATGTCTGTAGATTTTTGCGTTTCTTCTCTTTGAATCTGTACGAGACCACGTTCTGGTTCCTCTGACATGTTTTTGTGGACATTAGGACAGACTGCCTCAAACTCCAGGGAATGCTGGAAGCTAGACCCTCTGGCTCTCTGTGTGCACAAGGGGGGGAGTCCGTGACTAAAGTGGAGGCTCTAGGAATTATGCTGAAGTTCATAATCCACCCACTGAGAATTACAGTTCCTCCATCACCAGGTGCACAGGTGGGATGTAAGTGATTTAAATCAATAAGGTGAAGGTTTGTCATGCAAATTAAACTGACAAGTGCACGAAAACTTCTTGAAACTCAAACACAGGTAGAAAAGCATTTGCAAACAGTTCACTTCCAGGGGCAAAGGTCGTCAGCTCATCTCAGCTTTGACTAAAATCATCTGCAAATACTGTTTTACCCAAGTTTGCACAGTTTGAAAGGAAAGACGTTTGGATCATTTCTGCTTCCCATGCTTTGCTTGACCATCATAAAGCAGAGAGTGAGCTTTCCGTTCTTCCAAAAATACAAAAGATAAACCAGCTGCAGGGTTTCCCTGTGATGTTTAAGCTGAAACTGGTTTAACTGGTACCAGCTCCTACTCTAGGATTACATGCACAACGCAGTCTTCTAAAAAAACGTTTAGCAAGCAAAGCTAGCTGACACAAAGCTAAAGCGGCCAGCAGGGGGCGACTCGTCTCCTACACTCGTGTGGTTTTATCGTCTCAGCTTCTGGTTTCAGGTCCTTTTGGTTCGTTTTAGACGCTGAGAACCAGTCAGGGCTGATTCAGGGCGGGTCTAAACTGCGACGGACAGCTGTGAACCTACGAGCTCGGTCATCACATCTGGTTTCAAAAGACCAAGATGGAAACTGCAAGAAAGCTCCGTCTGAGGCTCAGAAATAAATACGTTCATTAATTC